ACAGAAGGTCGGGACGGACTCGAGCCGCGTTCGAAGTATTGAACAAGTCACAAGGCGAGAACTTTCCGGATTTTTTTTATTACGTAAAAGTGATATTTTTAAGAAAAACGCTGTTCACCTCTACTTTAGAACGTCTGAAGAATATTTACTAATTTTTCGGACCCGAAATAATATGTAATTTTACCGTGACAGCCGTTTTAATTTTCTAGTGTGCATGATACCTCATGTGTACCATATGAAATTTTTATGCAAGGTGTACAGTGAGGATTAACAAAGTTCGTAAATGATGTTGTAATTTAAATAATTCCGTGTCCGAACAGAATTCAACGAATGATTCGCAAAGCTGATTTAATAATAAATAATCGCGTTAAGGGATGTAAAGGATTTGTATATTAGAGAAATATAAAAAATATTATCGATAAGAAACTCACCCATTTAGTTGAGGATGCATTTGCTGACTCGTGCGCATTGACCTCGTACAACGTACAGCTGATTCCAGATCGATGACCGCAACATTCGAGGGATACTGTCGGAGGAACCTCTGGTATGGTTATTTTCGAAGATTACTTATACTGCATTGTCACCAAACACTGGCCACTTAATTAATCACTGATAATCCGAATCACTTGTGGATTTTATAAAGATCACTGAAACTCGTTCGCGGATAATCGTTTATTCGACGCGTTTGTTAGGAAGTCGACGTTCCGCTACTGAAAAATTCAGGCCTCGACCGTGGGCCCTTGTTGTTCGTTGTTCGGTCGTCCGAGGAAATGACACTCGATACCAGTTTCTTCGAACTGTCATTAATTACGTTCTAAGAGCGCAGGGTACCATGAGTGACAGCGGGTCGGTCGCAGTTTACGTCTCTGCACATCTGGTTTATTTCATATGGCGGTATCCCGCGCTTTTAGAACCTACTTAACGGTCGTTCGAATAAAATGGTATCGGGTGTCATTTCCTCGGACGACCGAACGACGAACAACAAGGGCCCACAGTCAAGGCCTGAATTTTTCGGCAGTGAAACGTCGACTTCCGAACGAACGCGTCGAATAAACGATTATCCGCGAACGAGTCTCAGTGATCTTTCTTAAATATCCACAAGTGATTCGGATTATCAGTGATTAATTAAGTAATCAGTGTTTGGTGACAGTGCAGTGAACGATCAGCTGTACGTTGTACGAGGTCAGTGCCCTTCGACATCGTGAGCCATTTTTAATATTTCTCTAATAAACAAATCCTTTACGTTCCTTAACGCAATTATTTATTATTAAATCAGCTTTGCGAATCATTCGTTGAATTCTGTTCGGACACAGAATTATTTAAATTAAAATATCATTTACGAACTTTGTTAATCTTCACTGTACACCTTGCATAAAAATTTCATACGGTACACATGAGGTGTCATGCACACCAGAAAATTAAAACGGCTGTCACGGTTAAACTACATATTATTTCGGGTCCGAAAAATTAGTAAATATTCTTCAGACGTTCTAAAGTAGAGGTGAACAGCGTTTTTCTTAAAAATATCACTTTTACGTAATAAAAAAAAAATTCGGAAAGTTTACGCTTCGTGACTTGTTTAATACTTCGAACGCGGCTCGAGTCCGTCTCGACCTTCTGTCAAAGCCTCGTGCTGCGGGCTCTCGAACTTCGCGCTGTCACCTCTCATTGGTCAGTATTTTTCGTTAATAACTCGTAAACAAAGCCGCAGATTGCATTTTCGCAAAGGAAAAAGTTACTTAGAATGACCTCAGCTATCCCACATTTCCGTATTGCGAAACATTTTTGGGACACCCTATGTATTATCTACATGGTTTCATACAAACTTTATATCAAATAATCTCAAAAACAAAGGTCCATGTTCAAAAATCCTATTAGTGTTGTTTTTAAATATTAGGTATGTGTTATAACTTTAACACATTCACTGCTAACTACGAGATATCTCATAGTAGACGTCCACCACGACACGTCTGTTAAAAGTTCATTACTAACAAAAAAAGGTTAATTTATACATTGTTACATATTATTATTTTTGCAGCGTGTTTTACATCAGTCATTGTCGCGCCTTCTATCGTTTCCGGTCGGAGTTCGTTCTGTCCGAACCTTAAGCTAAAAAATTTTAAGACTCAGCGGACACCGCTGTTCGTTATTATTAATAAATGGAACGGCAAACTGTCCGTATTTTGTTGAACAGTTTAACCGCGGTCTAATTCGTAACCTTCGATATATTCTTTCGTTTTCAGTTAGGTTAACAATGTCAATAATATTTAAAAATTCAGTACCAAAAAGTGTTGGTCTTAAATTTTTTAAGCGATAATTCGAATCAATTAAATACTACATTTTTACGTATTTATTGTACATTTTGTGTAAGATCTTTACAGTTAAAACACAAAAACATTTAACTTACAAAACAATATTTTACAGGTCGAATATTGCAAGGAACGAAATATTCCTGTGACGGCTTACTCACCGCTTGGCACACGAGGACTTGTTAAAATGATGAAGAAGGATGAAGAAGTCCCAGATATGTTGCAGAATGACGTGGTATTGGAAATAGGAAAGAAATATAAGAAAACAGCTGCCCAAGTTTTGTTGCGATACATTGTACAAAATGGAATTGCAACTATACCAAAGAGCACAAATCCTGAAAGAATCAAACAGAACATACAGGTATTTGATTGGAATCTTGCACCTGAGGATGTAGAGAAATTGAAGAACCTCGATCAAGGAGAAGCAGCTAGAATCTGTGATTTTAGTTTTTTGAAAGGAGTTTTTCGTCATCCTGAATTTCCTTTTTAAATATTCTAACACATACGCTATTTGCACCAATACACATACATATCAGTAAGCAGTGATATATAATATATATATTAATAATAATATATATTAATAATTGAGTTCTTAGAATACAATAATCAAAGAATTCAAGTTAGTGTTATATAAATATTATCTAAAATTTTATTAATAAAGGAATGGAGATCCTAGTTTCTATTTCATTAAACTGTGTACTTGAAAGAACTTCATGCAAATGAAATAATAATTGTTATATAATAATGATATACAGGTATTGTAATAATATTACGTGCTCACTGTGCTTCGCATTCGTATAACCTTGCGTCGCTCACTGTGTCCGCGTCAGTTCTTCCTTCCGTTGGTTGTGTTGCTAAGCAAATCCTTTCCTAAGCCAATTCGCAATTCTCCCCCACCTTTTTATATTCTGCCTGTCAACACTGCTCCAAGGCCGAATCATTCTTACATTTGATTTACATTCGAGTGTTTACATTACGCGTGCCATGAAACCCGGCAACGTCCAAATGTGTTCACACTTGCAGGCAGACCTGGGCCAGGCTTGCTTCGCCCGTAACCAAAACAAAGCGAGACGGAATTACGAAACTGATAGGATGTGCACAGAGTGCTCAATCTTTCGTTCTAGAATCAATCTAGAATCATTTCCTGATTTTTTACGACTTTCAACGCGGAACATGATGTGTACACAGTTATTCATTTAAAAAGTTCATTTCGAATTGTACAATAAAATATAAATTGTAGTGTAAGATTCATTTACACAAAGACTAAAATGAACATCGACACACATAGTACCGCACTAAATTGAGTGGACATTCTTCAAAACGTAGTATCTCTTTTAAAACTTGGAGTAAACGACTAGAATTTTTTAAAAATGATGATGAGTTTTTAATTGATCGATCTTTAATTGTTTACAGCTTATTTCAAGGTCGACCGATTTCGATGAAATTTTCAGTACGGATATAAGATCTACAAAACGCATTTTATAGGTTCAGAAAAATAAGTTAAAAAAATATGAGTTCTTTATTTTTTGTTATTGTTTCAAGGAATAGCAAAATCTAAAAAAGCATTATAGTCATTGTCTAGTAACTAGTCTTACTCTCATTTAAAAAAATTCTAATGGTTTAGTCAGTTTTAAGAAAGATACTGCGTTTTGATAACGTCTCGGATGGTGTTTCACTGGTTTCCTAAAATATTTAAGTTAGTGTTAATATGAAAAGTATATTTATATTTTGCGTAAAAATCACTATAATCTTATAAAAATAGTATCGTGATTGGTCCTATTATAATCAGAAAAAGCTCACGATTGCATTGGAAAAGACCCACAAAAAAATAGTAAAAAATAAAGAAGTTACACATTGCGTTATTATCTATCCTTCATTTGCTGACCTTTTCTACGTTCGGAAAAGATATGGTCGAACATCGAACCTCGGTCTAAGGCACTTCAGTCTCACATAAATGTGCATCGACCCTTATTGTACATTTGGTTTGTTTTCAGGCATAATTAACTTTATATTTATCGAATGAGATATATTAAATTGTTTATTAGAAATTTATGACTCAGAAAACGATCTGTTAAAAATTTATGATACAAAGAACGAGCTTTTCTCAAAGGAAGTTCTGGGATAACGGCAGTGAGGTCAATCACAGTCCTCCCACTAGAAGGCATTGCCTTCCTCACCTCGTGATCAGATTCTTCGGAGACAAAGTCCCAATTCTTTGGCAAAGTGGCGTCAGGCCGCTTGCCTTGTTCAAACATTGTTTCAATCGGCAACCTGAGGCGTCCGATAGGCAGATCTTCAACCAACGTCCGTTCCCAGATCTTAGACTCATTCACTCATCCCTGAGGTCACTTGCACCTCAAGATCTTATCATAAAACTGTATAATACAGTCATTCTTCTCGGACTCTCTCTTTCTAGAAACGTGTTGCTGCTAACATGTTTAATTAAAATATAAATAAAATAGAAGAATAACAAAATTTAATGTCTTATTCAAATCAAAGGCACAGCCCCCAGTTGGTCACCCTCCAGTAATCGGCTCCATTACCCTATTGTACTTTGTTAGCAAATTGATGTCATTTTGGTGTATTGAGGTAGGTGTGTGACTATAGAATCGTGGTATGTGGCCTCCAAATTGCCTTTGAATCATGACAAAAATTAGAAATAAAAAGTTAAGTCATCGTTTCTATTCTAGCATGACTATGTATTGATATTAATGTACACCGGCATTTCAATTCCAATCTCCGAACATTTGTGAGAGAAATTACTGCATACATTGTAACGCCGAGGTTCGTGCTCAACGGGGGAACAGGCGATGAAATAAATTTTAAATGTTTGTTATTTAACTCTTAAATCTACTGTTTCAAAAACTAAGAAACGCAAGGAAACTTCGTTTGATAAAATATCAACACAGTGATACTGACCTACGCAGATTTCTCCGGCGGAGGGATTGTCCAACGACTCGTCAGCTCCCTTTTTGCACGGCGCGAAACTATGCCTCTCAAGATCCCACTAAGCGAGAACCGAGATTCGAAGTGCGTAGATGTGCGAGAATCGCACGCAACGCTATGCATTCGCACGAGCTTAGCGAGATCGAGAGAGTCATACCGTAATCGGCTAATCTTGTCGTGAATATTAATCGCGAATTGGATCAAATCCGCCCGGGATTTTGTTGTTTCAAGGCGGGGACGCGACTGACAGTGACTTCGCGATTAATCTTCCGGAAAAGCTGGACTTTTGTCCAATCGAAGAATTCGTTCCCTACCTCTATTCAATAGGATGAAGCTGCTAGGTCGCAAGAGAACTAGCAGTTCTAGATCTAAGATTGAGGCCTAGACAGTAAGTAGCAAAAACCGAAGGTAGAATATTGAATTGTCTGTGCGTGATGCGTTGCACTTACTAGACTCTCTTGTAATCGATTATCTTGCCTAACTGCAAGCAGATCGCGTTTCGCTGGTTGCGGCACCAAGGATCGCAATCGAGGTGGCGTGATCGCGACGACATCCGGGACACACATACGGCACGCACACTCGGTACAGGCTCGTGACACACACACGCAAGAGTAAGGAGTGCTGTTCCTACATAGTTGCTTTTATTATTATTTTATAATATTTTTTCCTTATTGGGCTTCTCTCTCTCTCTCTCTCTTTCTCTCTCTCTCTCTCTTCGTGTGCTTTTTTCTAAAGTCTTTTTGCAAAATTACCAAATTAAGCATCCACTATTTTACTCACTGAAGCGTCCACTTTATCCTCATCAATTCTAGGAGGTGGGATTTCAGAATGGGGTTCGATCGTACCGAGTGAAACATTAGATATGGGTATCACATCGCTAACTAGCGAAATAAGGAAGTGGGGAAACAAGTTACTGTGGCTTACGGACCGCCAGTTGGACAGTTGGCCAATTGATTATACATGTGCAAGATCTGTGACCCGAACTTACTCTACAAGCTTCAATAGATTCTACAAACACAGAAAGTGAATCAATAATTTTACAAAAACACATAGAAAAAATTACACGTTTGAGGTAGATATCCTGAAAAACGGACAGTGGTTAGAAATAATAACATCGATAATACTGACAGTAATTTGAGTGAAAATATTATTATTGAAAAAGTTAAGGAGAAGTTAAAAGCGACAAATTTAGTCACATATGAACAGTGGGAAAATAATCGTTTTGAGGTTAATCATCTATTTAAATGTGCCTATGATAATGGTGACGAATACTAAACCTTGTTAAGTTTAGTTGCTAAAAATGGTTACATTAATATAGTAAAAGTTCTAATAAGGAAAGGAACAATTGTTAGTAAACCAAATAGCTGCGATAGTACTCCTTTACTTTTGGTTGCTAGCAATGGCCATTTGGAAATAGACAGAGTTTTCATACATAACGAAGATGATGTTAATAACCCAAACAAATACGGAAAATCTCCATTTTTTTGTGCAGCTAAAAATGGTCACTTAGAAATAATGAAAGTTCTATTGAACAAAGGGGTTAATACTAATATAATAGCTTATGACGGGTCGACTCCTTTGCATTGTGCTTCTGGTAATGGCCATTTAGACACAATAAAATATCTCGCAGAAGAGAAGAATGTTAATTTTACGGTTGTTGACAACACTGGCCGGACTCCTTTACATTGTGCTTCATACAATGGTCATCTGGATACGATAAAATATCTGGTAGATGAGAGGAACGTTACTTTGATGGTTGTTGACAACGGTGGCTGGACTCCTTTGCATTGCGCTTCTTATAATGGTCATCTAGGCACAGTAAAATATCTGATAGATGAAAAGAATATTAGTTTTACGGTTGTTGACAATGCTGGCTGGACTCCACTGCATTGCGCTTCTTGTAATGGTCATTTGGACACGGTAAAGTATCTGGTATATGAGAAGAATGATAAATTTACGGTTGTTGACAATGCTGGCCAGACACCTTTGTATTGTGCTTCATTCAACGGTCATCTGAATATGGTAAAATATTTGGAAGATAAGAGGAATGCTATTTTTATGGTTATCGACAATGCTGGCTTTACTGCTGTGCATTGCGCTTTTTATAAAGGTCATCTAGACGAGAAGAATGTTAATTTTTGCGGTTGTTGATAACGATGATCGGACTCCTTTATTGCTTGCCGCTTTAAATGGCAAATTAGAAATAGTTAGATATCTGGTAGATGAGAAAAATGCTGATTGTATTGTTGCAAATGTACATGACTGGACTCTTTTATACTTTGCCATTGTTGTCCAATGCAAGTATGACGTGGTAGAGTAGTACTTAGTGAATAAAGGTGCAGATGTTAATTTTGCTACCAAAAAGGGCAGGACTCCCCACTTCAAGGTGCTGCCTATTTTGGTAATCTGGATGTGGTGAAATATCTTATAGAAGACACAAAGGTGCTAATATTAATATTCATGATAAAAATAATCACACTCCTTTGTGTTCAGCTGTTGAAAAAGGTCATTTAGATGTAGCAAAATACCTTATAGAAGAAAAAGAATTTGATATTAACATTAAAGATAGATCGGGTAGGACTATTTTACTGTCCACAGTGGTAAATTAAATATGGTAAAATATCTTATAGAAGAGAAAGGTATGAAACAAGAAGAACTGATAACGGTTGGACTATTTTACACGAAGCTACATCTAAACGCTATCTGGAGATAGCAGAATTTCTTATAAGCGAAGGAGAGCTATGTTAAATGCGTTTGATAAATGTGGTAACACTTCTTTACATAATGCTGCTAGGAAAGGACATATGGATGTAGTAAAATTACTGGTAAACAAAGGGGCTAATCTGAATCAAAGTAATAATAAGGGCCTTACATCTTTGTATTACAGTACTAAAGCAGGTCATTTAAATGTTGTGAAATTTCTTGTGGAAAAGAGAGCTAATTAAAAGAGTTCTATGAGTTTAGTCCTTAAGCACGGTACACGAGATATTATACCATTTTTTAAGAGTACACTAAGCGGTAGTTTTAAAGGAAATACGTACATGTGTGTGAGGTTGATAGTGTACATGCATGATGACAGATTAAGCGCACAGTATGATGTATAATGTGTGGCGGCTACCTCCAGACCCGCCAGCAGATGGCTCCTCTTCTCGCAAGTAACCGATCCGCCTCAATTCGTATATATACAGACTTCGTCCTTCCTACCGACATCCCAACGTCTAAGGCAAGGGCCCGCTAGGATAGCCTTACTGATGAGTCCTCTAGCGGGTCCCGGACGAAACGTCATCGTGAGGCTGTTATGTTATTATATTGTTATGTGTTTTGTGTCTGCACTCGTTTGTAATACGAAGCGTTTCATTAAATTAAGAAGAAAGGTGTATCAGATTATTGTATTGAAGCTTTAATATTTTTATGTAACGAATGACAAAAATCGATAATTCTATTTAAATTGTTTACCTCCATATGTCCTTCACGCATCCACCTAAAAAAATCTTATTCATACCAGACTACGTACCCTCTATAGCTATTCAACTTTTGTTTGAAATATTTTTTAGTATCATCAACGGTTTCGAAGAAGATTTTGAGTCGATTTAAGTACGTCACTGTGTATACATATTTGTCTGAGTTAGGTGATGATTATGACTTTATATTATAGATAGATTATGACTTTTGTCATAAAATTAAAAACACATCTAGTAAAATTTATGTAAATGTTTGAGGTAATAAAAAAAGAAGATGAATCAAGTAGAGTACAGTAATTTCTCTCAAACCTGCACTCTTTCAATGTTCTCAGCTTCGCGCTGTGATATTACTACGGCCCTGCAACTTATCGATTTTTACGCTACGCAGATGATAAGGTTCGACGGAGTTTGTCCAGCGTGTGATGCGTCACGAGACACGGCTCCTTTGATTCGAATTTCCGGAAGACAACTCATAATGTAATAACATAACTTTTAGAAATTTTAACATTTTTAAACTAATTTTTTTTAACATATTGCTGTGTGACACTTTTCTGATTGAAATGAGACCAAACATGATATAGTTTGGACAAATATTTCTTATTGCTCAAAATAAGAACAATCACGATGCAATTGCATCAATATGGACTGTTTTGGCCTCATTTTAATTGGAGGAATCTCACCAATATGTTGAATAAATTTTCATGTGTAAAAAATTAGAAATAAAAAAGTTAAGTCATTGTTTTTAACCTAGTATTACAATCCGAATTTTAAAATTCCAAAAACAAAATGGCGAATCAAATACGGCCGATGGGTTGTTGAAAAAATGATATGCGGAGCTGTATTTCGTTGGTCTATGGAAGCTGAAAGGTTGAAGATGAAATTTTATTAGGCATTCTTGCCGTATTAAGAGTGTATATTTCGAATTTTTCATAATCAATCAAATGATTGTCGAATCATGAATCAATCATCAATCTCGTGGCCGCTTGAAATGGCTTGTAACATAACATAGAATTGTATTGGAAGAAGGACGACCGCTTAAATTTCTGATTTTATTGCTAACGCAGACGGAGGGCACTCGAAAAAATACCGATTCTGCCAGCCATTTTTCAAATTTTCCGGTGTACGTTCCTCCATTTCCATCTCAAGGCAGAAAATAATTTTGTCATGGCTTGTGTCACGTCATCGTTCATGTCGACCACAAATCCTTCTTGCTTACAATACCTTTTGCTTAAAATATTCTGTTGCGACGGCAACACCAAAGGTCAAGCGTCCCTGGCCATCCCTTGAGCAATTAAGCGATATACCTGCGACACTAGAAAATGCACCCAAGCGAAGGTGCCCTTCGACCCGACGACACAACTCATAAATTCCATATTTCCCAAAACGGAAAATTTACAACCCGAACTTTCGAACAGTTTCCCACTCCTCAAGTTCTTTCCGACACACCCATCTCCAATCAAAAACGCTTCATTTCCTCCACCAAAACCCACCATACACCAATCAACAAAAAAACCGAGGTGACAAGCGAAAGGGCACCTAGAACGTTACACAGAATCGTTAGAACCACCAGAATCGTCAGAACCACCAGAATCGTTAGAACCAACAGAATCGTTAGAACCACCAGAACTCCTAGAGCGTATAGAACTCTGAGAACGCAGATAAGACCATAGCTGTAATATTATTAAAGTGTACGTAAAGGCAACCAGCGACTTCATTAAACTTAATTCCATTTGGAAACATCGCGCATATACATATTCTATTATTAAGTTATTGTCACTATTCAAGTTTTCTTTAATAATAAGGAACAATCCTTTCTTAGTTAAGCAGTATTGACTGTCACAAGATCCTGAAAATAGAAAACCAAAAATTGAAACACTTTTTTCAATGTAACAAATTTCATTTTTTTCAAAATAATTTTCGACATTACCTAGTAAAGTGTCTTTTCTAACATCTCAAAACAATGTAAGCAATTTGGCACAATTTTTAGAAAGTTATTCTGTCTTAGATACTCTCATGAGACAGTTTCCCGTACGTTGACTCTGAAAAAAGTGCAACGTGAGGCAGCCAATTTTTTAAGTGCAGCTAGATGAAACTATAAACTATGGCTCCAGTAAGTTTGAAAGCAGGTCCTCATAAGCCGCAAAAGTTTCGACTATAACTTTAATGTAAATGCATTACATTTACTCTTATAATTTGAATCTACAATTTATCGATTTACTAATGTAATAGTTAACAATTCGTGAAATGTTAGCGGTACAAAATGTTGTACTTACTACCAGGAACAATATCCATTCTACACGATTGAAAAAAAACACTTCCACGAAAAGATACACGCTTTAAACTATCTACTTCGTAGTGTCTCGTAGGTCACGCTCACGAGTAATGACTGCCCAATAAACTCGAAATTCGAAGTGCAATTGGCATTCAGGTATAAAAGTATGGGTCGTTTCGTTATTCCCACCACGCGGACGTGAGGGACCACGGCGTTCTGCCCCAGAAGGAACTAGGGCTAACACAGCCGACAATGCTGCCCCCTGATGTAGCTGGCGGGTGCGAGGGTGTCTCTCACGGACTGATCTAGATCAGAGCCAGCAACTTGGATCGGCCACGCGGGGTGAGTTCGCTACGTCGCTTACGTCTTCTTTGCGTACGAGTCGCTCGAAAAGACAGGAGAACCGACAAAGACCCTGTTCGCCTTCACCCGGGCAACTTGTTCATGCCACGAGATCTATAGTCCGCGCGGAACAAGAAGCACCTGAGACCCAGATGTCGGCAGTGACACAGGGCCCTTTAGAGCCTTTACTAGCCGGGGTTCCGGTTAAACGCTGTTCGATCTTTTTTTTTATTTTTATGTCTTGAAGTGATGCATGCGTCGGTCCCTGCCTGTGTGCCAGGCTCACCAGATGAATGACGTTTATTGAGTTACCTATGGGTAGTGAAAATTTAGTAAAAAAGTGATTATTCAAGGAAAATTTGCAAAACAACTCCGTCAGGTAGGTGGAAGAATGTAGGTAGGGAGGAAAAGGAAGGAGTGCCAGCAGTGTGGATTGTTTGATATAATACAAGTGATGTTATTGCGAGAATAGATTGTAGGAATATGAAACATGTAATGAAGTGTAAGGTTAACTGCTAGTTAAGAGAATGAAGGGTAGTAAGTTGTGTACTGGAATGGTTATTAGAGTTTA